CGCGGCCGTCTGCAGTGTCACCAGGAGGCCGGGGTCCTTGGAGAGGCAACACCCAGAGTGCTGGCAGGCAGCAAGGGCAACCACTTCGTTTCCTATCGCCCAAGTGATGTCGCTGTCTCCAAACTCCCAACGGAGTATGTTCACCCTCACCCACGCGCCCAAACCCCTGAAGAACTGAATCCAAACATCGCAGCCAGTGATGCCCTCCGAGAGCCTCACCCCCTCCTCCGGACCACGCGAGTATCAACTTCAAAAAAGCGCAGAGGAGAAATGTGTAAGAAAAGGGTCGTAAACAGCTCGAGAAGGTGACTCGCAGGAGGAGGTGGAGCGGGTGTGTATTGGGTCGAGCAGCATAGGGCTGTGCTTTCTATTGGTGTGGAGAAAGGGGTTGATGATAACACACCAATATTTTGGGTACTGCTGAGCAGTGCTCGAACGGCACCAAGGCTGTGCCTCCAATATTTCCCACCACCACCACCACCAGTGGGCTGGAAGGGGGCAAGATCTTGGGAGGGGACGTAGCCAAGACCCCTGACCAAACCAACCAAAGGCATATTCCATACCATGTGACGTCAGCTCAGATATAAAACTAAGGGAAAAGGAAGAGGAGGGGGGGACATTCATCTTTTGTGACGTTTTGTCTTCGGGAAGGAACAACTACGTGTACTGAAGCCCTGCTCCCCGGGAAGTGGCTGGGCATCGCCTGCTAATGGGAAGTAGAGAATAAAATCTTGTTTTCTTTCCTTTTGCTACCGCGCACGGCCTTTGCTTTTTTTTTTTTCTTTATTAAACTGCCTTTATCTCAACCCACGAGCCCTTTGATTTACTTTTCTCTCCTCTGCCTGGTTAGAGGGGAGTGATAGAGCAGCTTTGGTGGGCCCCTGGCGTCCAGCCAGGGTCAAACCCTCACACCACGCTACTGCAACGTCTTGTTCAGGTGGAAGACATTGGCCGTGCTAAAGCCCGCTGGAGAATTTCCCACTCTTCCCGTCGCGGCGGGGGCTGATGCCCCTGGGTTTGAGCGGGCTTAGGGCCAAGGTGGCTGCGATGTGGAGGTGCCTCCTGATGGTTATTAACAAACGTGATGCCCATTCCCAGCAAGGAGATGGGAAAGCCGGCAGGGGCCGGCCCCCAGCG